GCACGTCCGAGCGGCGGCGCGCCGGACTTCGGCCGGCCGGCTCGGCTCGGCTGCTCCGTTAATTGGTCGGGATGGAACCGGTCGCGGCCGCGCTGCCCCGGCGGACTGGCGGCCGGCCGCCGCTGTGGCCTCGTCGACCCGTCGCCGTGCCCCCCCCCCCCCCCCGCCGTGGAGCTTGCACGGCATCTCGGCGGGGCTCGGGAGCTGAAGTGGGCTTCCTGACACGGGCTCGCACTGTTGCGGTCCACTCGAGTGAACTCGGCCGTGCAGTGTGCACAGAGGCCTGTTTGATGTGGCGCAGTGAAGTGGGCGCTGAAGGCTTTCGGTGACTTTAGCAGAGCGGGGGGCGACTATCCGGCTGCAAGCTTGAGAGCTATATCGCGGTCTGTGTCTCGCGAGGAGAGTCCACGCTGCTTTTGAGGAGTTCAGTCGTGTCCAGCTCGCTAAGAAAAGCTGTGGTCTGGCACTAACGCTGCGTTGATGATGGCGCCTGCTCGGTCGGCAGCCCAACGCGGCGGCTCAACGCCGGCTTCTGCTTAAAATTTTAACCCCCATGTCGGTATAAGTCCAGTCTCGGCTCTGGCTCCAGCTCGTACCCCAGCCCCAGCCCAGGCCACAGCACCAGTCCGAGCCCGAGCCCGAGCCCGAGCCCCAGCCCCAGCCCCAGCCCCAGCCCCAGCCCCAGCCCCAGCCCCAGCCCCAGCCCCAGCCCCAGCCCCAGCCCCAGCCCCAGCCCCTGCCCCTGCCCATGCCCCAGCCCTTGTCCCCGCCCCTGCCCCTGCCCCAGCCCCAGCCCCGGCCCCAGCCCCAGCCCCGGCCCCAGCCCAAACTTCTGCCCAAATACCAGTCTCTGCCCCAGCCCCAGCCCAAGCCTCAGTCCTAGCATCAGCCCCGGTCCAATTCAAGCCCCAGTCCCAGTCCCAGTCCCAGCCCCAGTCACCCTTCGCCAAAAGGCGTAGCTATTGTCCCAAATACGAGTCCGCAAATAGCCCGCTAAACGAAACGTCCAGATTAGACTCGTGTTCTTGGAACATTGCAGAGCGGATCACTGTTGCCACGCATCAGGCGAGGAGATGGCGCTGTGCGGATAAGGACATCTTATCAATATCACCAACGCATTCTCCGTACTTTGGTTGTTGATGCAGTCGCTTAAGTACTTGATCCCTGCGCTGGCCAAGCCTAACCGACCGGGATGTGACGCCTTGACCGGGCGTGAGAGCACTGCCCTCATTTCGGTGACACTGACCTTGGCTGAGCGCCAGGTCACGGCGCCCGTGACCGGCGCGCGGCAGGGGCGCCTCTCGCGTCGCCGGCACGGTCGGAGCCTGTATCGATTCTCCATCGGGCGGCCTGACGTCAGGTGGCTGTTGGGCCGGCGCGGCGCTCCTCCTCTCGGGAGTCGGCCCGTGGCCGAGCGCGTCTCGTGCGGCGCCAGCTCCTCAGTCGGCGGTGTGCTGGTGCCCTCTGAGCGTGGTCCGGCACCGGCTCCGCGGGTCTGTTCGTGCTCCCGGCGCCGCGTCTGTTTCGCGCGCGCGCTGAAGTTCCGCGCTCGCCCCAGCTGAGCTCCCAGGCGCCGTGCTCGTGTCGTGAGCTTGCTCCAGGTTGTGTGCTCCGGGACGTGCGCTCCGGGGCGCGTGCCCCAGGGCGTGTGCTCCTCAGCTGTGGCGTGCTGCAGCCAGGTCGTGCCGGGCGTTTTCCCGCGCCCGTCCGCCAGCACGTACCCGCACCCTACGGCGCCGCCCTCTCTCCACCTGTCCGCCTGATGGGGCTGTTTCCTGAGCCGTGGGCGGCGTACCACCTGAGCGTTTTTGCGGTGGCGGCGGCGGCCGTCACTGTCAGCCGCGCGCGGCGCGGCGCGGCGCCTGACGTCGGAGCGGCTGCTGGGCGCCGGGCCGGCCGGCGCTCGGCGTGTGGCGCCGCCGGCTCCGGTGACGCCGGCGGTCCGCGCGCATGACGGCTCGTGTTGCCGGCGCCGCTGCAGTGCCGCGACGGCCGGGTGTCCACCCCCGCGCGCCGGCCATCGCGCGGAGCAGGACGCGTGCCGTCTGCGGGGAGGACAGCCGGCGGCTAATTAGGCCGTGCTGGACTGCGCGCCGTGACGTCTGCCACCGTGACGCCTGCCGTGACGGTGGCGGCAGTGCGCGCGACGGAGCCGGGGATTTAGCGGATGCGGCCTTCCGGCGCTGAGGCCGGGCCGTCCCTCCACAGAGGTGGAGCGTGCCGGCCTGGCGCCGCCGCCGCCGCCGGCCGCCGGCAGCGCTCCGCGGGTCGCGGGTCTCGACGGCGCCCGGCCGCGGTGACATTCGCCAATCGGCGCCAATCGGCGCCAATGCCGCTCCATTGTCGGCCAAGGCTGGCGGCGTCGGCGCCGGCCGGCGCCCGGACCGGTGCGGCGGCGAGGCGTGTTTACGCGGCGGCAGCGCGCCGTTTTTGTCGGCGGCACCGAGGGTCGCAGAGTCGACCAGGTGATATAGCGCTGCAGCGGCGGCCGCGCAGTAATGAGTGGCTAGTGAGGTGTCAGGTGGCGGCCGGTCCGACGGTGGCAGGCTCAGAGGTCTTGTCCCCGAGCGCCCGGTTCGTGCGGGAGCGGGTGGCCCGGTTGGTGAGCGGTTTGGGAACGGGTGTCCCGGCTTGCGGCGGTTTGTTTGGTTCAGGTGAAGAGGGAGAGAGCACTATGCGGCTGACAAATTGACGTGGTCGGGTGTATCTAGCGAACGTTTTGTTTATCAGCGGCGGCTCACTCCGTTTGCGGACGCCCACCGGAGCTCGGTAAGCGACAGCTGCATCGGGCTGGGTCTCGGCGAGCGTGTGGGCCGACCGATGGAGCGTCTCTCGTCTCCGTCGCTGGCCGGACACTCCCCTGCGGCCTTCAGCTAGGCTGCCCGAGGGCGCCGGGTCCGACCGTCGCGTGCAGCGGGCCCTCGCGTGCCCGGCGGGCCCGCGCGCTCCGCCCGGCCGGCCCACGTGCGGCGCGGCCGCGGGCGGCCCGCCGGTCGGCTGGCTATTTCTACCGTCCCGACGCCAGGGCCGGCGCGGAGACGTGGTCGCCACGCGGCCGCCGGGCGCCGCCGGCCGGCACGCCGCCGCCACGGGCCGCGAGGGGCGGCCGCGTGACGGTCGGGGGGGGGGGGGGGGTTACCGCACCATTGTTGGCGTGTTGGAGAATGGAGGAAACGGGAGGAGCTCGCTGCCAGCTGGGACTGAGTGGTTTGCTGGACATTTGTGCCGTTGTCTTCCAAGCCGTGCTTTCCAAGATAGCGCCGTTCAGCCAACTTCATGGCACTGGTTACCGTACATGATGGTGAATGCCAGCATCCCCACATTGGTTACTGTTTGCCTGTATCGTCTTACGAATGCATAGGTCCTTGGTGTTCCGGTCCGCTCGTGTCTTAATCAATCCCTGCTCCTTCAGCGTCCGCTTGCCAAGCAGTTAGCCACCGAATATCACCCTGGGATTATTGTGCAGCAGCCTTTGTGCTCAGCTCAATATCTTGATCCTTTCCTCCCTCTGCCCGCAGTCCGCCGCCGTGCCGTTCCCCGCTGTGCCCCCCCCCCCCCCCCCCACTGCTCCTCATTTCCGCCTCGCATTCCTGCGCGCTGCCCCGCACGCTTCCACCGTTCGCCGCGCTCCACTCCGCCGCCATCCCGAGCGTCGTCCAGTCATCGCCGCGCTGGGCCTGCCCCGGCGCCGCTGCTCGGCCCCGGCCGGTTCTGCGAGTCCCCGCGGCGCCGGCGGCCCGCTGCTCCCTCGGGGACCGGCGGTGGAGGTCCGTCCGTCCGGACCCCGCTGCCGCCGGCCCGGCGACGCTAAGCGACCGGCGACGGGCGGACGGGCGGGGCCGTGCCGGTCGGGTCGGGTCGGGTCGGGTCGGGTCGGGTCGGGTCGGGTCGGCAGGACAACCTGCGACGGAGGCCACTCAGGGCACGCCGGACGCCGGCAAGTGGCGCGGAGGTCAGAGCGTCTGTGGCGGATCGGCGAGGCTGGGAGACTTATTTAGACCTGTACAGTGACTGAGTCCTTTTGCGGAGCGTGAACAGACGACAGGGGTGATGTCGATGAGTCGTCCTGGTGGGCAAAGGCGACAGGAATGCGAGCTCCGTTCGCTGCTGCAAACGGGGGGCACGGCTGACGTCACAGCGTCGAGTCCGGCGAAATATTGAACGGTATTGGGAGAGGCAGACTTTGGAACGACGACGGCGATGAGCACTTTGTCTCGCGACGTCTGGCATATTGGACGTGGTTCGGCGTCAGACTGTGTGCGCTCCGTGGCTAGAACGGCGGTGCCTCTTTCATATAGCTGGGAGCTTGGGCAAATGTAAGATTCTGGATGAAACGAACTTTATGATAGGACCCTTGGGCTCTCCGTGGAGTGCGCAGCATTGCAGTAGATTCGGAAAAGCTCCCTGGGGCACCCGTAGTCTCATGGTCGTTGGAACAACTGATAGCCGCGAGGAAGACTTGGCTGTGCTCCATCTTTCTTCATCACAAAAAGCATTACAACCTAGATTCATCTACGTTCCCGAGTTTGCAAACCAAGCGATCATTTCAACAAACGCGCAACATCTCTCCACGTGGCGCCGCCCGGTACCCGGTACCCGCCAGTCAAACATCGCTCTGTCACGTGGTGCTCGGCGCCGGGCTGCCAAGTTTGGCCGTTGGCGGTGTGGCGGCGGCACCGTTGGCGCCCGCGCCGCTCGTGTTGTTTGCGCCGGCCGGTCGATCTCCGCCTCAGCGCGTCGTCAGAGCCGGTTCGGGCCGGCTTTCCCGTCCGATCAGCGCCAAGTTGTTTCTCGCGTTCCGCTGCCTGGCCGGTACTCGAGCGGGGTGGGGGTGGGGGAAAGCCGGCGCGGCGGCTCGGGGCGTCGGGCGCTCGTGTTCCCGACATTGGTGTGATTACGCGATTGTTACACGGTTACGCGGTCGATCGCAGGTCGATGATTAATGTAGCGATTTTCGGTAATCGCCGTCGGCCTCCATCAGGGGAGGGCACTCCGTAACGAGCCGGCACACAGGTAGCTGGGCATGGCTGGCGCAGGTGGCGAGGAGAGGGTCTTCAGCGGCCGGCGTTATTCTCTGAAGTGTCGTGATGTCGGTGTTGCACACGGTCCGCTGGTGATCTGTGGTGCCGGCTGGCCGCTTACGCGGTGTTTGTTGCAGCGGGATGTCTGTGTCGGCGCCGGCGAGCTGGTCCAAGTCTCAGAACCCGTACCGAACGACGCCGGCACGGCGGCAGCGGCGCCACCTGGTCAGCCTGCGCGATGTCAGGTCAGTGCCAGGTCACCGGGTCACAGGTCGCGTGGCCGAGCGCTGGGTGTCACGCCAGCAGAGGGTGACTCATAGGCAGCCCGCCGCTGTCCGTGAGTCCCGCCGCTGATACCGCGCCGCTGGTGACGTCGGTGTGTTGACCAGCCGCGTGACGAGCCCTCGCGGCGGCCGGACCGCGCGCCGACCGCTGCCCTCCCGGCTGCGTGGCCGTGTGCGGCCGCACGTGCGGAACGACCGCCGCGGCGGCGGGCGTGCGGGAGAGGACTCGCTGCGGCGGCGGGCGTGCGGGAGAGGACTCGCCCGCGGCGGCGGGAGGGTTAGCGCGGCAGCGGCGCGCGCTGGGCATGCCCGGTGACGAGGAGTCTGCTGGAGTCGCTGACGGCGGGCGGTGGCCCACTCTTGGGACTGTGGCTCTTGGCCACGACTCGACTCTGTGACTCAGGACTGGGAGAGGTGATTGTGACTCTGTCTCACGCGTGGCGATCGACTCTAATGTGGGATGAATGACTCGTGGATCACCTCACGAATGCCACTTGTGACAGTGACTCGTACCTGTGTTTTGTGATTGCGATCGATGGCTGTGATTTGCTATTACAACCCGGTAGCTGTGACTGTGACACTGGTACCCGTGCTGTGACCCGTGATGACGTCACCCGGACAACTTCCCCGTGACGCTGACTCGACTTCCCTGTGACGTCTGGGTCCGGGTCACGCCGCCGCCGACCTCTCAGACGACTCCGAGCGCTCCTCCGTGACTCGGCCGCGCCCGGCCGCGCAGGTTCCCACGCGCTCAAAGCGGACCGGCGCCGCCAGCTGTGCGCCGTCTCCGGGCGGCCCGGCGGCCCCCACGAGCTCCGTCTCGGCGGGGCTCAGCTGGCCGTCGAGGCGCGCGGCCGGGCTGAGCCGGCCGCTGTACGTGCGGCGTGCCGGCGGGGCGATCTTATCCGCGGCGGCCCGCGTCTGGAGCACGCGCCGGATACCGCCCGATGCGGTCATGTGTCGCTGCGCGGGGCTGCAGCCGCGCGGCGGAGCCGGTCGGACGCCGCGCTCGCTCGGCGCGTGGACCGGGCTGCCGGTCCGAGGTAGCGTTGTCGGGGCTCGGCGATAGGAGGCCGGCGCCAGGGTCGCCTACATGCAAATGGCTTCGGTCGGACTGTGCTGTCTTGCTGTCTCCGGCGCACTTAAGATGCTGTCGGTGTCGCTGTGTGGCACGTGATAAAGTAGTCGTCGGGAGGGTCGCGGACGACTGGCAATGCGCATCTGTACTCGGGTGTCGCAGGATCGCACACGTTCGGGCGGCGGGGGGTGGGGGAGATGGAGCGTTGGCATCAAAGCTAGTAAGTAGCCTACTTCAAAGGCCTGGCGTAATTCGCCTGAAAGCCTTCCGAAGTGGGCGACGCGAGCGTCTTCGGAGCAGCCCTCTCCAGATCGGCCGGTGTGTCGGCCCGTACCAGCCGTCGGGAGGGGCGACACGCCAGCCACCAAGTGGGTGAGTCACACTCACATTACCCTCAATGACGCTGGACAGGCTCGGCCTCGGCCGCGCCGGGCCGCGCAGGAGAAGGCAGGCGACAACGGCGGCGCCCGCGAGCGCTGACCAGGGCCTGGCGGCGCGCGCGCGGGGCTTCGCCTACGCGTCACCGGCCGCCAGGTGGTGCGATGTCGTCACTGCGCTGGGACCCGAGCAACGCATGCGGATCCGGCGAGCGGACCGTCGCTCTTCAACAGCTCACTTCTGACGACAAAAACGCGAACGCCCGGCCGGGTTTCAAAAATGCCGATCGTAGCTATTTGTCGTCTTGATGCGTGGGGCACTTATCGCGGCCGCCGAGCGCACTTAACCGGGAGTGGCGCGCCGTGTCGGCCGCCCGCCGGCGCAGCGGAGCGTCCGGCGGGCAGTGCCGGTGACCGGGGCGGTCGGCCGCCGGGGCGCGGTGGCGGCGCTCGAGAGTGCCGGCCCACGCGTCCCGTCGGGGAGTCGCACCGGCGCCACGGCAGACGCGCCGGCGGCGCCGCCCGGCCGGCGCCGGCCCGCAGAGCTGCCGCCGGCCGTGCCGGCGACGGGGCCGCGTTTGCCGGCGATCGGCTGAACACCGGCCCGTGATGTACGTTTGCTGCTGTTGATTAGATATTTTGCTGTAGAAATCGTCAGGCTGCTGACTTGTTTGGAGGCACATGTGATGCCTCGCGTGCACGTGTACATATCGCCTGACACCGGTGGTGCTGAGCCGTCCAGACGTTGAATGGTAAACGGCTGCGTGGAGGAGCGGCTAATGCTGTTCAGCTTTGAAGTTCGGCCGTCAGAACGAGACCAGACGGGTGTAGGCTTGATTATGCCGCGGGTGAGGCTAGCCAGACCGGTCACGCGAGGCTGGGCACGAGTGTGGCCAAACGGATAAGTAGTCCGGCAACTCCAGCCGTCAGGAATGTGGGGAGACGTTCGCGTCGCCACGTTGTACGCCCAGACGTCGGCCGGGCCCGGCCCTGCCCGGTCCGCGCGCTTGCCGCCGCCGCGCCGCCCGGCCTCGTCCGCTCCTCCGCGCCGCGCACGCTCACGCATGCTGCCCAACCAGCCGTGAGTTACGTGCGCGCCGCGGCTGCTGATTTACGGCATTGTTTTCGTATTTGCCTGATTCACGGCCGCGTGAGTCGGTTAAAACGGTACCCGGCCGGTCGGGCGCGGCCCGCCGCCAGCGCCATCCATCGGCGCCGGCGGCACTGTCAGTTCGGGCGCGGCCGCCGCAGATGGCGCGGCGGTCCCGCCGCCGGATTTGTTCCGGGTGGGATCGATTCCATGACCGTACTGGAGGCCTGTGCGCGCTCATGTCGTCCGCTGGCGGCTCTGGACCGGGCGTGGCGCCGGTAATGGGATCAGACCCCGGCGGGCGCCAAGTCTCGGGCACGCCGCCCAGCCCCGCGCGGGCGGGGAGGGGGGAGGGGCGGTCATGAATGCGGGCTGACCCAGTGCAGGGATGCACGGATGGGGCTCGGCTTCGTCGCCAAGTCTCGGATGCGCTGGCCAGGCCCGCTGGCAGGAGCGAGGACAGTAAGTGGGGGCTCACCCACTGCGAGAGGCGGTAGCTGGCGTGGGGGGGGGGGGGGGCGACACCGGGACGCAGGCTGGCTGCCAAGTCCCGACCGTGCCGTTCGGGGTAGGCGGCGGAGCGAGACGCTTGTGAATGGGGCGCGTGCCCTTCGGGGAGAAGGCGTTCGGGCTCTGTCTTTGTCGGATGAGCTCCAGGCATGTGTGGGTCTAGGTCTGTCACGGGCCTGACGGCAAGCGTGGTGCGGTAACGCCTCAGGCGGGCCTTGCCAGACCGATGTCATGAGAAACTTTTCCGTTCCATTCCGTTTTCTGCCATTTCATGGTGCACACTGGCAGCTAGTTATGACCCCTTCGTCCATTTGGTTCAATGTCCATTGTCTCAAATAACGCTGTAATGTACAGACACCGTAATATTCTTAGCTCAAGGAGATTACGTGGTCCACTTTTACGACATTGCATCGTGAAAGCACCGCTGAGACGAGTCTATTTTCATCCGACGTACCCAGGCGGAAACCTAGGCCGTCGGATTGTCTGGGCGGGGGGGGGGGGGGGGCTCCGTAAGTAAGGGGGAGGGCTCTGTAAGCTCTCCTACCGTGGAGCTGACGAAGCCCCAAGTTCAGTCTTTGTGCCGAACTTGGGAATTCAGTCTAAAGTGAGGATCAGTCTAATGTGAGGATCGGGCTTGGATGTTACCGGGTTGAGTGAGTTGTGTTACGGCCGCCGAATGCATCGCGGAGCATTATCAGCTTCGACGGAACATTATCAACATTATCAGCTTCGAATGGAACATTATCGGCTTCGACGCCGGCCGAAAGCTGACATCTCCCCGGGAATGATTTCATGTTTGGAATGCGCATCACAGTGACGGTCATGCGGTTAAGTTTTGTCATAGCCCCAGCGACTGTCGATTTCCGGGCGTTTGCTTCTGCGACCAAGCGTCGCCTTGTGATTTCGTTTAGCGACGATGTGTTGCGCGATCTTTCTGTTGTTTCGTCACGGCAGACGCGCGTCCCCCGGGCAGGTGACGTCACGTCCGGTTCACTGACGTCATTTCCGGGTTCTGACCTCAAGTGGCAGCGACATCTCCATTGCCACGGCGTAGCCAGACCAGCGTCATACTTGAGCAGGGGCGGGGGGGGGGGAGGGTCAGGATGCACCGCCGCCCTGCCGCCCTTCCGCGGTCAAACGCGGCGTCGCGGCGCCCCGCGGTCGCCAACCGGCACAAGTTGGTGGACCCCAGGTCTGAAACATTGGCGGACGTTGGTTTTTGGAGGGCGGTGCACCTCCGATGTCGCGAGAGGATCGGCCTTGGACCCTTATGAACTGGCGCCCTGGCTGTGCTGACCACCCACGCCCCGCTCTGTCCGGGGGTGGTGGCGGCGCTGTGGCCCTAGCCGCTTGGCTGGCGACTGTCCATAAACTGATGCCGAGCGCAGTCGACTGAAGTTGCCGTACGTTATGGGAGGTTCGAGCGATAAGGCAGGAAGTGGTGCGGTGTCTTGTTCGAGAAACCAGCGGGCAGTGACCGTCGGACGTAAGCCGCCAACCATGGAGCGGCGGGTTACCAGGCCTTGCCGTTTATGTTCACTGTGTGACATTGGCCAAGGTATTGCTGATCATTTAAAGAAGCTCTCGTGAACTGTTCACTTGATTCGGGGACATTACGCTGATATTCGTTTTGTTGACGATCTCATGCGATTGGTTTTACATGTGTCTGGGCCTACGCGCTACGAAACGCAGTCGATGGATGAATGGATGATGCTATTTTGCAGTTTTTCTCCGGCGCGATGGGAATACTTCGGCTTAAGTACGCGCTGAAGCCAGCACAACGGCGTGTCGGCCCTCATTTAACGACCCTTTGTCCTTTGGCACCCGGCGGTCTGTCCCTGGGTCTTTAGGCATGATTCACATAATAGCGGCCGACTTTGTCACATCCGGACATGCCGACCAGCTGTGCGCCTGTACGTTTTTTGCCGGTGGGGCGGGCGGCGGAGGTCGGTTTGTTGTGGCGACGGCATCCGACTCCAGTCGCTGATGCCGGCGGCAGTGTGGGCATCGGCCGCCCTGCTCAGTCGCGCAAGAGTGCTCCGTGCGATGTGATCCATGTGCGGGCTTGCCCTACGCTATGATCAGGTGATTCTCGTCCGGTTTCCGGATGCGTGCTGTGTTTACTGTCTGTTGTGCGGGGGTATTTCTGTGTTCGCATTCGCGGTGTTTGCGATAATTTTGTGATGCGTACTCGCCGCCGCGAGGTGTTGACTGTGTCCATCATCGCGGCGACCCCGCGCCGTGCGGGGCCGACGATTGATGTCCTGACCCGCTCGCGCCCGCTGCAGGTCTCAGGCGGCGTTCGGCAGCGGCGGCACGCCCTCAATGTCGGCCTCTCCGCCGTCGGGCGCCGCCACTCCCCTCTGCCGGCGGGCCCGCGAACTGTCCGACATCGACCCCAAATACGTCTCGCAGGTGAGCGACGCAGAAATGAAGCGAAGACGGCACGAGGAGCAGCGATGCAAGGGTAGTGCGAAGCAGATCATTAAGCAAGCCGAAGTGGGTCATGGAGGTACTCCATGTGCTATAGAATGACAGTCTGAGGCGATTCTGTGTGTGCAGTCACGTGCCGTCACAACCAGGGGCGTACGCAGGGATTCACGGCGGGGGGGGGGCGACTTAGAAGGTTTGGTTTCACTACAATCCCAGGTTAGCTCGTCGCAGGTGCGCGAAGCTCATTGCATAACGTACATCATCATCATCTGTTCTCGATTTGTTTATTTTTACTGGTTTACCTCGAATTCTTAATTGTCAACATGCATCACACACATGCACACGTAGCAAGGCATATGAATACATTGGATGCGGGCACACGTGCCCCTGGGGACTACTACGCGCGTACGACCCTGGTCGTAACTGTCGGCCCGCGCGCTTCTGCGAAGTTGGTGCGGTTGTAAAAAAAACACGGTAGTTTCTAGGTAGCCTGAAGATCTTTAATCTCAGTTTACAGTACGCTGACATTGTTGGAAAAATCCCATTCAGATACCTATAAACTCATCTAGCACATTTGCCAGGGATACGTGCGCAAAATATGCCATCAGCGTTGAAGTCAGTTTTGTGCAACCGCGTTGCGTTATGGTGTGGCGCAGTATCTTGTTTATGTTCAAATAGCCGCATATTGCATTGAGAACTCGTTGGGTGCTATACTGCACCAATTTGTGTGGATTCCACTGGCTGTGGACAACGTGCGCGGACCGTCGCTCTGATGAGACCAGAATGGTGGGGGCTTCAACGTCCCTGTCCGGCGAACGCTCCCCCTGCGCGAGCGGGGCGTCCGCGGCGCCAGCGTCTCCGGTAGGGGACCCTGTTCTTGTGCGGCCGGCCCTCCGGTCCGGCGTCGTCGGCAGAGGGCGCCTCTCTCCCTGTCCGGCGCCCTCCGCAGTCCTGTCTGCCTGTCCAGCCGGTCCTCCGGTCCGGCGTCGTCGGCAGAGGGCGCCTCTCTCCCTGTCCGGCGCCCTCCGCAGTCCTGTCTGCCTGTCCAGCCGGTCCTCCGGCCCCGGTCCCCTGGCAGCGGGCCCAGGTGGCCGCGATCGCTGCGCGCCCGGTCCGATACGCGCGCCCGGTCCGATACGCGCGCCCGGTCCGATACGCGCGCCGGTTTTCTTTGGCGGCGGCCACGGCCGGCCGTGACGCGGCCCGTCTGGCGGCACGCACTCCTCCTGCACCGCCGGACGGAAGGCGGAGGCCGTCTCCGCGCCGGCCGCCGCCCGAGCTGAGCGGTCCTGCAGACGGGCCTGATGACGACACGGCCTCGATCCGAGTCGGCCGGATGACGTGCGCCGTCCCGGCGCCTGCCAGAATGACCTGCCGCTCGCCCGAATTTATTGCGAGTACGCGATGAGCGGCAGGGAATTTATTGCGAGGACCCTGGCGTTGTTTGTAATGGCTCTCCTGCTTTCTCCAGAGGCGCGCAGTCATGCGTCGGGTTGGATTTGTCGCGAACAAAGAAGGCGGTGGGCTTGAAGTAAATGTTTTTCGTGTAGTGCTCCCATTGTTACACAATAACTTCGTAAAGACGACATCAGGAAGTGGCAAGAAAAGTGGATTGCGTACCATACTTACCCTACAGTCGCGCGCTAACGCTGGTGACGAATAAAGTGGACATGGCTCCACTTGTCCTAGCAAGCGGACCGCGCTTACACCAGAGCCGGCTCTGCCCGTGCGCTTCTTCACCTGCGCCGTCCACTCGACGCATGAGCCGTCACCACCACCGCTGCCGAGATTGCGACTAGGTTGAGGTAGACGCTCTCTCCTTCGCTCTCGCCTGAGAACCGATGGAACCGCGAACTCCCTGGAGCCGGAACGGCAGGGGAGCGCTGTCGTCGGTGCCTGACAGACTGGCCTGCCGCCGTACTTTGCAAACGGTACGGAAGCAGCGCACACGTCATCAGCTGTCGCGTTGGAAGCAGCGCGCGCGTGATCAGCTGTCGGGCGCAGACGGTGTGCATTGCGCCCGCCCTCACCCCCGTCCCGCCGATCGGTGTGTGGTCCGCTGGTGGGGCGTCACAGAGACCGCCGGTCACTACCGCACAGACTCCGGCCAGCGAACCTCCACGGGCGCCCGGCTAGTGAGCCGTGCGGTCTTCCGGTCAGGGCTCACTGTACTGTACACACCGCTCGTCGGTCGACCCGCGGTCACTGCATCGTTGGTCAGTGTGCGGCACTGTCACCGCGACCAGCGTACAGTGCCGGCTGTCGGTGAGCGGCGCCGCTCCCGGGGGCGGGCGGTACACACGCTGCAGTGCCGGCCGCCGTCGGCGCCGCTGTCGACTCCGACGATCAATTGCCGGCCGGCCGCCGGCGGCGGCGGCGTCGCTGCTGCTCTCAGTAACCCAGATCGGGCGTCGGCGCCCGCACGGCCACCGCTGCCCTCCGGCGCGCCGGGTCACCCGGGCCAGCACGGCCCCTCGGCGAGGGTGCGCTGGGACCCCGCTGTGCGAACGTGACGGGTGGGCCGCGCGCGTGTGCGGGGACCGGGCAGTGCGCGTGGAGGTGTACAGCTCCTGTTGTGCGGGCCGCGAACGTCTCTCGCGTGTTGCTCGATCTTCGGCCGGCGTGCGCCGCCGCCCTCGGGGCCGCGGCACCATACGGTCGGCCTCCTGCGCCGCGGTAGTCATGACCCCGCCCCGGGCGGTGACCTCGCGTCTGCGGCCGGCCCTCCGCCGCCGCGCTGACCCCCAAGGAGGTCAGGTGGCGTCGGCGTGAGTCGGTGTCGATGATCCGGTGCGGCGCCGGCCCCGCGACATGGCCCTCGGCCTCTGGGAGATCGCCGACAGCCTGATGTGCTCCTTCATACCGCTGGGCGTGTTCTGCGGCTGCAAGCCGGCGGTGCTGCCCGTCTGCCAGGTACGGGAGGCGGCTCGGTGTCCGCCAGAGGGCGACGAGCGCGGCGGCGCCGCTCCGCCGGCCTCTGATGCCGCCGGGCCTTCTTTGTGAGTGTGACGTGGACCTTCGGTCCAGCTTTGAGGCGGTGACCTCTGCTCAGCTGTAGGCACGTTTGGACGAGTGAGCATCCATTTTAGTAGTTAGCCAACTCGGTTATAGGTTGAGGGGTTTGGTGCCGGTGTTTCGCGCGGCCAAGTCTGTGAGGGCGTGCAGCGCGGGCTGAGGATCTCCCTCGCGATGTGAGGATCTTCAGTAGGCCAACCGGCAGACAGCCGTGTCTGCCAGCATGCGTGCCGACAGCCTCTGTGTCACGGCTCTGTCAAGAGGACGAGACGCGCTGTCGTCCGCAGGCCACGGGAGGGAAGCAGTGCCTGATGGAGTGCCGCTCTAGATACACTAGCACCCATCTGGACGCTAGTGTATCTAGAGCGTCCATATGGGCGCAGCATAGCCACTGCGGCTGCGCGCCCTAAGACAGCCATGCTGGCTATGGTCGGTGATAGCTCCAACCACATCTCTCGCACGTTGAGCAGACCGGGACTGGGGGAACCCATAGCGTGCGTAAGGCATGTGGTGAGTGGGTGTCTCCGCCTCGTCTGTCAAAGTGGGATGCGGATATCTCGCATGGCATTGCACAGCCATACACGTAACACGACGGTAGGATATGCGGAATATACTGCCCAGTTTGAGAAACCGGCACGACTCGCACCGAAACTTGCGAACTACGTGACGTTCACGCTCTGGCATCCCCGAATCTTAGTATGCGTGCCAGGCACACCCACACGCACCTGCCCAGAGCGCCCTTCCCGCGTCGTCCGTGCGGCGGGCTGGTCCCTCCATCAGTCAGAGGGCGGAGACAGGAGCCCGGCTGTTATCCGCGGCCGGCGCCGTCCGTCAGCGCGCTGCACCGTCCCTCCCGGGTATTGAGCGCCTCCTTGCAGCGCCCGGCCGGCCTGCTCGGGTGTCAGCGTCCCGCTCGGAAGCTCACGCACGGGCCCGGCGGCCGGTGCGTGAGGCCCGCCCCCGCCCCCGCCTCTGGGCCAGCAGCCCTCGCGCGTCGCGGCCGACACCTGTTCTCGACGGGTGAGGCACGTCCGCTCATTTGTCACGCGTGCTCTCGCGCGCGCGCCGGCGACGGCCGCACCGCCCAGGTGGCGGCCGGGGGCGTTGGTGACACGCTGCAGGAAGATCCTCCGCCGGGTGGTCTCGTGCGTGGGGCGCCCGCCGGCCCGTCGGCGCGGGCGGAGTTCCACCGGAGCGGGAGTGAGCGCTGTTTTTGGTGGGTTCGTTGGGCGGATCGGACGCTGCCTGGATCTAAGCGTTGGCTCGCCGGTGTTTTGTTTGGTCCGCGCGTTGGACGTAATGGTGTGCAGGGGCTTAGTTACATGAGCGGAAGGAATTCGCGGGCGGGCCGGAATTACCGACAGCTGCCCGAGGCATGCACGATTGCGCTCCAGTGCTTATCCAGGCGCCTAAGCCAGCGGCCGGCGGCAAAAGCCAAGTCGGCCACAAAGAGCCGCTCCCATCTGCGGCCTGGCAAACTTGGCTGTGAGTTCAGACGGCTGACTAAGTCAGACTGGACGCTGCCAGGCCGCTGCCGAAGTGCTGGCTGTTGTGACCAGCTGCTGGCGTGCTGAGTGTTGAAAGTTATCTGCTCCGCCTATCTCTCGTTCCCCTTCCGCTCCACTTCCGCACCGCCTTCTCCTGTTTCTCAGAGTGACCTGTTCCACTTCGCCTTCTTCTAGTGCTTCGCTCCCTCCCGCAGTCCGGACTCGCGAGATCATTCTAGGCTGAAATACATCCTCGTCATCTTAGTCGGGGTCTTGCCCTAGTCTTTTCTGCTTCCGAAGAAAAGACTAGGGCAAGACTTTTCCGCACCTCTCCCCCCCCCCCCCCTCGTGTCGGTCCCCAGGTGCGCCGCCGCCCGACTGTGGTGCCATCTGGCGGCGGCCCCGCCCGCCGGAGCGGTGCTGATGACACCGGGCGGCCTCGGCGGCGCGGGCGCCGTTGCACTGCAGCGCTGGCTGGCGCCACAGGGCCCGTTTGCTATCGACCGGGTCGGGGCACCGCAGGGCCGGCGCTGGGGCAATGACATTGGCACCTGGGGAGGGAAAAGGCGTCCGCGGCTGGCGGGGCTCGACTCACGCGCAGGATGATGTTTGACAACGGCACGCACGTGTTTGGCGACGTGCTTGGTTGGTCCCCGATGCGGGAGAAAGCCTGCTTGGCATATCATTGCCCAAACGCTAGTCCAAGAGGGATGTTTTGCTCAGTCCGTCCGCTTAAGTCGTGTTCCCAGCTCAGATATTTCGTCTGGAGGCACGGTCGCCCAGAGGCCGTCATTTTTCATTCAGCCTCGTTTCCGGTCGCGTCCCCGCCGCTGTCTTTCCTACGCGGCACATCCCTAGCCTGCTGATGTGGCCGCCGTCTGCAAGTCCGTCAGAAGCGCAGACAAACGGCTTGTCTCCGTGCCGACCCATCTCCACGCCGGATATCGCGGTAACGGCGACTGATTCGGCGTCGGTCCGCCCGCTCACATCTCCCGACAGTGTCTGCCTCCCGGCCCGGGGGCAGGCGGCGGCTGGGGAGGGGGACCCGAAATCGAGCGGCAGAGTTGCTGTGCCGTGCGGAACCGCCGCCGGGGTGGGTCGGGACAGGGAGAGAGAAGGAGACGGAGAGAGGTGGGAGGGCAGCCGAGCGCCGAGCGGGCGGTGCCGTGCGGGGCCGGTCTTGGTCGTCGGCCGGACCGGGCCCGGCGGCACGCTCCGGCGGCGGCGGCGGCGGCGGCGGCTGACCCGGCTGGCACGGGGAAGCGGCGGTCGCTCGTGTTGCGCTAACGAGGCGGTGACGGACAGGGCTGACGCTAATCGCCGAGATGACACGATCCCGGAGGGCGGAGAAGAGCGGGGGAGGGTGGGGGTGGAGGTGGAGATGGAGATGGAGATGGAGATGGATATGGAGATGCAGGGTAGAGAGTAGGCGGCTGATACGGGAGATTGTGATGCGTCTGTCGGGTTGTTGATAGCAGGCGAATTGGTAATTCGCGTTGAATGGGAGGAACGGGAAGCGAGAGACGAGGCTGGAGGCTAGGACCGTTGTTCTTGTTTTTTTTTTGTCCCGTCTTTCCACAATATATTCATCTATCCACTAGCGAGGAGTGTTCTCTCCCCCCACATCTGTCGTCGACCCCCACGCTTACGGCGGAAGAGCGGGTCATCAGCCCCCGCACAAGAAGACGATCGCTCACGTGTGATGGATACAGTGGGCGCGGGCGTCGGTCATCTGCCGCCTGCTCCGGCGACGAGGGTGGCTGGTCAGGGCGGGAGCGGTGCTCCGCCGCCCTCCACGGCCTCTGCTGCCGCCGCGCCGGCCGCCGGCCGTAGAGGGACGGCGTCGGTGTGATGTGGGTAAAGGGGGTGGAGCGGGGCGAAGGTGTCGTTTGTGTTTCAAACGTGTTATCTGTCGTGAAACGTTGAGACGCGCTGCTGCGAGGACGACACTCTGCACCATTGTTGCCGCCTTGCATGTGGACGGTCTCAAGTCACGTGTTCGGCCGTTGCTGGCGCTGATCGGCGCGAAGCCCAGCCATGTGCTGACCATGCGGGCGGTTCTCGCTGTGCACGCCGCTCGCAGCAGAGGGTCGCGCTGCCGCCCACCCGCGTCCGCTGCGCACGCCGCCTCACCGTGTCCCCGTTCGCAGAGCGGGCTGTGCCTGTCGTCGGACATGGAGACGTCCCGCGGCAGCATCCGGATCCAGCACCTGACCGGCACGCGGCCTCCGGTCGGCGAACCGCGCTTCCCCAAGCTGGAGGAGTGCGCCCACTTCCACTACGAGGTCGTCGAGCTGGGTCCGCTTCTGGTCAGTGATGCGGCCGCCGCCGCCGCCGCGAGGTGCAGTTGAGCGCGTGGCAGCCGCCAGCGCGACAGGTCTCGTGATCGAGAGCCTAACGGGCTCTCAGTTTAACTGAAGATAGATAAAGACAAATGACCGAAAGTATGTTGCGAGTTTTGCTGTCGTTGTGATGGAAGATGGGAGCAAGTGATGACCGAAATTATGTTGTTAGTATTTTGGTTGTTCTTGTGTCATGTGTGATTGTTGGGTTTGTCATCGCTGAGGTCCCCAGTGTGGTTAGATGATCCAGAGGCATTGATTGTGGGAGCTGGTTAGGTCGCGGTCTGCATGACCTGCGTCGTCGCGCAACCCGCGTCGTCGGGAATGACCTGCGTCGTCGCAGAGTTGGGTGCCGCGACATGATCTAGCGGTTGTCTTTCGCTTGTCTTAAGATGTGTGGCTCTTGCTCTGGGGTTTAGGCTTATACAAATTATTCCCCCCCCCCTTTTGTCCCATTTGACAAATAATCTGTACAGATTTCTTCAGTAGGCTATCTAAAGAAGTGTGTGACTATTAATAACCTGCCCGCCCACCTTTTTTGTGTACCGTGTGGTTCGTGCGCCGCGAGATTTCTACGCACAGCGTCGTCAAACATCTCACCCGCCTACCTATGTACAATGTCATTCTATGTCGTACGGTGCCAGTAGTGTAGTGGTTAACGCGTCTGCGTAGCGCGTCTGAGTCGCTAAGCTGAGTTTAACGCTAAGTCGTCCTTAACCACTGCGCGTCCAGGAAACCAGAGGTACGAGGTTCGAATCCCCGCGGTGCCCGCCCTTCCTGCCAGGATGAGAGGCAGGCGACGTCATATAGCCCTAGCAGCTGAGTGCGTCGTTAAGTCCCAATGACGGCGACGACGATGTCGTACTCATCTAGGTGTTGGTCTTTTAGGTAGATTGTCAGAGTTCGTCACCAGTCGATATGCACAATAGCTTACCACATATCAATGTATCGAAGTTGACAATTTGAAGACGGTACCGTGGCAAGTACACAGGGCCGAGGGAACGTACACGTATCCTGCGTCGCCGTCGCCTTACGCCGTTTTCGACCCGGTCCAGTCATGTCCGCCTCGTCAGGCCTCGTCTGCTCCCTCCCTTCCTCGTCCTTCCGAGACCAGCCGTATGGGCTCGCCCCGTGCTGCAGGCCTCATGGCGTTCTGTAGGCAGGTAGCACGCGGGGCGCGACCACTCAAAGGCGGTCGTGCTCCTCTCTATCCTCTCTACAACAGGTGCAGCCGCGCGAGCCTCCCACCCGCTGGATGTGCGGCAGCGCGTCTGTTGGTCTGACGGCGCGCCCGTCATACAGGTGCAGCTGTACGACGAGGAGCTCAAGTCGGTGTCGCACGCGTCGGACGAGGAGGCGGCCAGCTACCTCTCCCTCCAGGTGACGTCGTTCGGCCGCTCGTGGGTGCTGCGCCGCAGCTATGACAACCTGCGGCTGCTCGACTCGCAGCTGCACAAGTGCATCTACGACCGCAAGTACTCGTGCCTGCCGGAGCTGCCGCTGGAGGAGAACCTGGAGCCGCTCGATGACAGCCTCGAGGTGAGTCGCCGGCTCTCCCAGTATTGCCGGGCCGGTTCGGGGAACGCCCGTGAGCCGTGCAAACACGCAACGTCTGCAGGCGCTGCCGCCGTGCACGGGGCAGCACTGACATCTCGTGGGCGTCGATGGCCTTAGCGGTGGCTGGCTCTTCCGCGAGATGTCTCTGCGGACGGCGCCGCGCCCGCGAAGGTGACCGCGCCGCTGCTTGATATTCCGGACGGCGGCGCGTCTCGTGTTGCAGCAGCCGGGAGGGCGTTAATTGGGCGGGTCGCCGCGCCGCTGGCTGGTTGGGGTGCCGCGCCGAGATGGTATCGGCCTCATGGGGGCCTTGTCCGCAGCGGGCGCCGGCCCGCGCCGTGACCGCAGCATGGCCTGTTAACGAGCGGCGCCGACCGGTCGCCGCTGTCGGTGGGCACGACCCGTCCTGTCCAGCGGCAGGGCAGCGCCGCTGTCCCGGGCTCCGCGAGTGGCGCGACCGCCGCTCGCGCTCCTCGGCCTTGTTCTGGTCTCTCTCGCGCGTGCTGCCGCGGGCTGAGTGCGCCGGTCAGTGCGACGCCGACGATCGTCGCCGAGTGGGAGCCTTCCGTACTGGCTGACCGGATGTTGGCACGCTACCGGAGAAGCCGTCTCGCCGGCGACGTGTGCTGCCCGTCCTCGCGTCGCGTCGACACGCGCTGCCGCAGCCTCGTCGGAAGCCTCACGGCGCCGAGCTGACGACGGCCGGCGGTTTTTCGGCCGCCGCGTGCGCCGCGTCGGCTGATCTCGAGAAAAACAGACGGCGCCAGCGGCCAGCCGCGCTGGTCAGAGCCGCTCCCTGCGAGCTGGACCGCGGTCCGTGAGCCAGCCGCCTCGGGTTCTCCGGTGCCCGGGCGCGCGTGGGATCGCCACTCCTGATCGGGGTTGAAGCGTCGCGTGACGTTCTGCGCACCGTTCTGGGAGCAGTTACGAGCGTAGTCTGCGGCGCTGCCGGCACCTCTTGGTACCATTATATCCGGATATTGTGCGGATGGGCGGTAATTCGCGCCGGGGCAGAGGCCGTTAGCGTGCCGTGCCTGTCCCGATTCGGCGGCTGGTGCGCCGTATCTCCGAGTGGGATCTGGCGCGCCGTATCTCCGAAGGAGATTTGGCGCGCCGGGTGCGCGGGATTGGAACATCGATCGTCATTGAAGTTTGTGCTTTCCGCCGGTGGACGGGCGGTTTTTCGCGCCGCCGCTCCTTCCAGATGGCCGCTGAAGCTGTAGCCGGTGTCGACTGGTCGGGCGGCGGGGCTGCAGTTGTTGACCGGGCGCCGTCCTCTGTGGGAGGCAGTGTTGGCAAATGTGACTGGCTGGTGCGCATCCCTTCGCGTCTGGCTCTATCGTTGTCCTCCAGCGCGCAGATGTGGTGGTTGTGGGCTGCACTCGACCGCATCCATCTGGGCTCAAATACAGAGAACCCAGGGCTGCCGGGATTGGAGAAGCTAGGACCGCTGGGACTGTACCGTCGCCGCCGGGACTGTACTCCACGGGACTGACCGTGGAGGTGGCGCTCACATTGAAGCGTCTGTGGCCCCAGTGGCGCGGCGGTGCCGGTGGGTTAGGGGAGGGGAGACGAGGCGGTCACGTGTGCCCGGTGTCTGGTCGGGATCGGCCGGCGGTGATTGCCGCCCAGATGGCCCCCCGTTGTTTTCGGCCGGCGCGGCCAGAGTAGGTCAGTCAGCACGGCCGGTCGACCCCAGGCCGTCTGGCCACCAGCCGCCCGCCTGCCTGCGTCCGGCAGAGCCCGTGGCCGGCGACGACCGGCGTCGACGGAGGCAAACAACCTCACGGCCGGCGCACGCAGACCTGGTCAGCGCCATCCCCGCGTCCGTGCTGATCCGCCGGCTCTCACCAGCGTCACGCCCTGTCCCGCGTCAGGCCGGCGGCCGCCCGGTGCGCGCTGCGCCGCCGGCTCCGAGAGTCTCGGCTCTCCGCCCGCCGCCGCGCCGGCGGCGACGCGGCACCGGCGGCGATCCGTCTCGGCGGAGAGACCTGCCACGGTGGTGGACATTGTCCGGCGCGGCGACGCTGCCGCCGGGCCCGTCCGGCTGCAGCGGCGCCGCGTCGCGCCGGTCCGGCCGCTGGGCTGCTCCGTCACGGGGACAGTGACGGAACGGGGAGCCGGCCGCGCCGCCGCCGGGTCGCCGCTCCGGCCGGCCGCCGCGCAGCGTCGGCCAAACTGCACCTGGAATACTGAACCTCGGGAGCAGAAGACCGACTCGTGCCGGCTGCAGCTGCGGTGCTGGCCGCGAGCTGACTCCTGATCAGGCCCTGATCGGCTCCTGATCGGCGACGGACCGTGACGTCGGCCTGCACGGCTGCACGGAGCTGTGCACTGACCCAGTGCCAGTACGCGGCGGCCAGCGGCGACACAAGCTGCCGGGCGGCCGGCAGGTCGCCAGGATGCTAGCGGCGGTCAGCGGGCGGCGCGGCCCGAGCTCGCACAGTTGTCGCCGCAGGCGCTCCTTCGCCGGCAGCGGTGCCCTGACGCTGTGCTGATGATGCGCGGATACACGACGGCGCCGTGTGGGCGGTCCTGCTGTCGCGCTGCTGGCTGTGACAAGGACAGCGGCGGCGGCGCGGCTGAGCGCTCGTGTAGTGGCGGGTGGCGGGGCGGCCGGGTCGCCTCCATTGACCCGTGCCAGTCGTGACATACCACCGCCGGCCCCAGGTCCTCGGGCTATCTGATCCCGTCAGCGGGGCGACGAGACGAGCGGACATGCCGCGCCGCAGACGAGGCGCGCCAGTCTGGCTGCTGGAGCTCCCGGACCGTGTGCTGTAGCATGGTCGCCGTGCGTACGAGGCGTCAGGTTAGGATAGAACATCACATCTCATGCCGGCCGCGTGCCTGTATGGCCAGCACCGGCCACCGCCTGGTAGATAACTCGCCTCACGGCGCGGACAGCCCGCCGCGTCTATCGCGCGCCGCCTGCTCCTGTGGCAGCGGCGATGCGCCAGATCACGCCTCGGCGTCCGTCTGCGCCCCGCCTGCCGCCTGCAGGATGCGGCGCCACGTGATAACGATGATGACGTGGTAATGGCCAGATGGACGTCGCTAACGGCGTGATAGTCGCCCCGTAATGGAGCGGCGACGTGGCGGCCGCTCGAGGGCCGACGTAATTGAGATGCGGCGCGCCCTGGCCGGCTCAGCCTCCCGCCATGGTCTCTCACAGGAGCCCGGCGGATCGAGGCGCGGTGGCGCGCAGCGGTAGGCAGAGCTGAGTGTCATTGATGGGGTTGGGAAGTGATTGGGCGTCACGTCAGTGTCGGATTTTGGGGTTTAGGGCGCATTGACTGCTCGGTTTTACAGCGTGCGGACGCCATGGTCATGTCGATACGAAGGGAACGTGGGTAGTAAAACTCCGCTCGGAAAGGTCGGTGGCTGCGGGGCTGCGGGATCGCCCGAGACACGCTGGGGGCTGGGGCGGCGGCGGGTCTGCGTCTCTCGCGGTCGGAGGCAGCGAGCCACCGTGAGCCGGGAGCAGCGGCCGGACTTCCTGCCGCTGCTCGCTCGCTCCGCCCGTCTGTCCGCCGTCCCGTCGCCTTTGTACGGGTCGTCAGTACGCACGGCGGCAGGCGCGCCGCATTGTTCTTATACATGGCGTCGGCGCGCCGACCGCCGGACACCAATTACGGCGCCGTCGCGGGCCGCGCCGGCCGCGTCCGGCACGGCCGACCCGCCGCCGCGGGGAGGCGGAGAGCGCCGCGGAGCAGGCGGCCCAGCACGCCGCTCGTGTGTGCCGATCGGGTCCGATTGTGCCAGCGTGGTGCGTTCGTTAGCCGCCGCCGCCGCCGCCGCCGCCGCCGTGGGACGGCCGCGGTGGCGTCTGTGGCGCCCGGCTGAGCACGGTCATCGGTGAGGTGCGCGCCGCCCGTCAGACGACGGTTGTGATCTCCGGTCTCCGGAGATCACAATCGGTGATCTCCGCCGGTCTCCGGGCGGAGACCGGCGGGCCTGCGGAGGCGGCGGGACCGGCGGGAGTCTGTGACCGGGGCTGTGGCCCGGCCGCGGTCGGCGCAGGACCGCACGCACGTTAGGGCGCCAGCAGGGCACGCCGTCAGCCAGGCGCCGGGCGGGCACGGCCGGCCGAAGGGCGGCGACGGCGCATCGATCGCCCGTCCGCCGCCCAGGTGACTCGGTCCCCTTCTGACTCACCTGTGCCGCCGCGCTGATTGATCGGCGCCCTCCGCCCCGCCGCCGAGATCGCGGACGCCTAACGCCGCCGGGGTCGCCGACGCCTCACGTTGCCCGGGTCATACTGGGCTCAGGTGCCGACCATATTAAACCGTCAGACACGGCCACAATGGCGGCCATCCTAGCCCGCTGGTGTCGTGAGTGGCTTAACAAAGGCCATCTCACACGGGCGCGGCGGCGTGACCTCGACAGTGGGCGCGCCGTAAAACACCGATAAACAATCAAAGACTACCTCGTAGACCAGGCCGTTGCGCCAGGCTAGACTCATCGCTGTCATGCTGCTGGTGTGTCACGGACATCACACCTGGCGCAGCTGGGATCGCTGACAGCGCCGCAGGGCATGACCGCGACCACTAACGGACCGCGGCCACCCCGACCCGGGCGTCTCGCGAGGTGCAGCTCCGGTCGTGGGGTGTTGAGGCGTTCTCTCTCGGCATGCGGGCAACAAATGGTGGCGGGACGGGTGACCTTTGCTGGCTGTCGTCTCGTAAACACGCTGTCGCCGTCCGCGCTACGGATGGCCTTGTTGACCACATCTCCCGCCGGCTGGTGTATATTTAGTGCCCAATCTCATCCCCTCCTGGAACGGTCACGACTGGCCGACGCGATGAATAATCCAGCAGCCGGCCTGTGGGACTGGGCTCTTCCGCGCTGCTGCCGGCGCGGCGGGCGGCCGTCACGCGCCTTGACGGGGCGACGGGTGCCGCCGAGCCCCGCCGAGTGGCGCCGCCGGCCGCTGTCGTCGCCGCCGACGACTGCCGCGCCCAGGCGAGCCGGTCCCGGCCGCCGCCCGCACGCGGCGCCGTCTGCAGGGCGTCGTCCGTCGGCGGGGCGGCGGCGCGCAGCACTGGCGGTGCGGTGTTTGGGGACGAGGCGTGGTGTTCGCTGCTGATGCTGGCGCGGTGTGGCCGCGTGCCGCCCATCTGGCGTAGAGTACGTGACCATGCGTGCGTAGGCTAATGTGATTACCAGCCGGGGGCTCGTCCTCGTTGCCTTTCATTAGGTCTCATTGTTGCGTTATTGTGCGTGCGTGTTCCTAGGAGATGATGAGAATAGCTTTTCCGGAATGTTCTCGTTTCCGGAATCGCCGCCATCCCGGTCGGCACACCCGTGTCCGCGCGCGGACAGGTGGAGGAAGCACCTCTGACCCCGTGACGGCGGCCGGGAGCGTGGCTGCGACCGCCCGTCGCCGCCACGCCACAACCAATCAGCTGTCGATTAGCCGCCGCACGGGGGCGACACCGCCAATCAGATACGGCCGCGCTATTTACCGCGCCGCCGCCGAGAGCGCTTCGCTCCGGTTATTGACGAGCGGCCGCCGACGCGGCGTGACCGGCCGCGCGTCACGTGACCAGTGACGTGAGCAGGGCGACGGCCGCCGAGCGGGCGCGCCGGCGGGCGGCGGCCGACCCCCGCGGCTTGTTTGCGGCGCGCGGCGCGAGGCCGGCTATTTCGGCGCCATTTATGCGGCCGTATGGAGATGCGGCGGCGGCGCTGAATGGGGCGCGGTCGGCGGCCAGGTTCACGGCCCGGGAGCGGGTCGCGGCGCGCTGCGGCGCCGCGGCGCCGGCCGGCCGGCCGAACATGGCGCTCGCGGCTGGCCGCTGGAGCGGGCCGCCCCACCCAGCCCTGCAGAGGCCGCTGCCCCCGGCCCGGCTCCGGTTTCAGAGCCGCCCCGACGGACGGTGCAGCAGCGCAGGGGCGGCTCGCTCCGCCGTCTGAAGGACGGGCAGAAGAGGTTATGTGTCAGACAGACTTTCCAGACAGCGGAGGAGCGTGCGGGACTTTGGTGTTTAGTTCAACAGACTGCAGACTGAATTCGGGTAGCGAACACCCACGTCTGCGGTCCTCATGCAAAGTGGTCTAGACCCGGAGCGGACTCAAATCCGGCCGTAGTTTGTACTTGAAGTCACTGAGGCGGCTCCTCCGTCAGCTGAGCAGGGCAGCATGTCAGCCCGGCGAGCCCAGACAAACGTCAGAGGGCCAGACGAGACGGCCCCATAGCAAGACACAGGCTTCAGCACTAGCGGCCACCGACGCGCTCCCAGCGGAGGTCACCGATCTGGCCTCCGTGGCGAGAGGCGGGCGTGGGCGCGCCGCTGGCTGGCTGGCACGCCGTGAGAGCCGCAGGGCTGGCAGCTCCGGCAAACAGCCACGTCGCTTCCCGGACAGCAGGGACGGGACGCGGGAGCCTGGCGTCGATTCAGTGCCGAGATTACATCCGGGCTGCCCTGGCCGGCTGAGGGTTCCGCTTGCCCTCGGACGCCAGCAGGGTTCAGCTTGCCGGCAGTTTCCACGATGGGACACTATGTATCGCCTGGCCGTGGACCCGTCCGCCGGCAGTGCGTGGTGAGGGTCAGCAGCTGCTCCAGCCGGCCGTCCGGTGTGTAACCCCGTTGAGGCCGGGTGGTCGGTGGGTGCGCCGCGCCGCGCCCGTCTCCACTCAGCGTTCTGCGGGAGCCTCCGTGACCCGGGCTGGGACGCGCCGAGCCCCCGGGGAAATCAGCGGCCCGGCCTGGGTCACGAACGGTCCTGCTAATCCGGCGAGTGGCTCGGTCGCGCCCCTGCCCGGCCCGCTGCCGGCGCGGAGCTTCCCGCTCGCGCCGACAGATGGCAGTGACGACCGGCCGGCCGGCGCTGTGATGCAGGCGCGCCTCGTCCGGCAAACTGTTCGCCGTCCGATTACGGGCGCCGCCCGCGGGCGCCGTGGCCGATACGTCAGAGCACTTAGTAAACATTTAGCGGGAGAAAGTGGCCGACGCGCATTAGCTGACCTCTGCCTGTCGGCGGCGGCGGCGGCGCGTGGCGCACCCGTGACGGACGCGGCGCACCTGCGCCGCGCCCCGCCGCGCGTCAGATTGGCCGGCGGCCGGCCGATGGCGAAAGTGACGCGTCAGGTCACGGGCCGGGTCGTGGCGCCGGCGTTTGACAGCGTGACGTCCGGCGGCGGCCGGGCGTGACGGGCCAGATGCGGTCGCTGCTCGGGGCACCGGGTGGTGGCTGACGAGCCGTCTGCCGCCGCTGGGTGGGGATCAGAGTGAAATGGTTCTGGCGTATGACTGGAGCATGTGTTGAAGCATTACCCCACGCCGTCCTGCCCTGCTGTGCGCTAGAAAGGCTGGCCGGGGTGGTAGTAGATGACGTTGGGAAGGCGAACAGACGGATGCTGACACTAGTGGGACGCGTCGGCCTGTGGTGACGTCACAACCGACATCTTGTCGGCCCGGGTTTGACCTGTCGTCAGCTGGCGCCCTCCGGGAGCAGGTCCCGGTCCGGCCCGTGTCCCGTCCGGCGGCCCGACGTCAGAGCAGGGCGGCCGCGGGGCCCGGCGCAGGTCGCCGACTCCACGACGGCAGAGCCTGAATCCGCATCTCCGTCTCGTGACGACTACTACAGGCTGCCTGGGCTTAGCTGGTGACAGTGGCAGGCACAGACTGGCAGACTGAGGCCGACACGAACCCCAGTCGGCTCGCCAGTCGGATGAGACGGCTCGGACCCCCCCCCCCCCCCGCCCTCTTCTGTCAGATGCCTCGAACATCTCGACAGCTGATGACGATTGGTAAATCTGAGTTGGAAGAGCTGCCGGAGCGTGTTTTGGACACGGCCCGTCAGGCTGACATTGGTTCATGCTAATTGGCTAACGGGACAACTCATTGCTTTCCAATTCATCAGACGTTGGCGCGGAATCAGCATGTGCCACTGCGTGAACAGTATGAACAGCTGGCTTGAATGTTAAAATCGTGCCTTCAGTAATATATTTCACGGGCTAAGGCCGTGACTTACTCTGACTAGCCCGCCTGTAGCTTTTCTCCGCGTGCGCTCTGCTGTAGGCTGGTTTGACCCGCCAACTGAGCAGGGGTCGCCTACGCTGATCAGCTACGCGCCGGTGCTGCTGTCTGCTTACTAGCTGTACACCTGTTCCCTGAACTTAAGAAAAACCTCTCCACCGGTCACGGCTGGGCTAGTTAGTCTAGGAGTCGGGATAGGGCCCGTGACAACCTTCTCCGCCGTCCGCGCGATGCCGGGACCGTGGTCATGCCCCGCCCCCCCCCCCCCTCCCCCCTGAGCCGGTCCCTGCCTCGTCAATGCCTGAGCCGCCACTCGGGGAGCCGACGGCCGCTCGGCTCGTCGCTCGTGATTGCTGGGCCGTGCCCGTCCCCCGGGGCGGCACCGGCGGCCGCCTGTCACTCGCCGGGCCGAGATCTGAGACGCCGCCGGCCGCCGCTGACGGCGCGCCGCGCCTCGCCTCGCCTCGCGCGGGCCGACGGCTCTGACGGCTCGGCGAGGCGGGGCACGCCGCGCCGGCGGCCGTCCGGGCGGCGGCGAGCGTGTTGTGGTCCGCCGCCGGGCCGCGACGGCCGGCCGAGCGCGGCATGGGCGGCGGACGCTCCACGGTTGCGTCACCTGATGCCCGGCCGACTGCGTTTTTATCTCGCGCTCCATTATTCGGGGCCGTTTGGGCATCGCCGGGCGCGTGCGCTCCGGCCGACAGATGAGCGAGCGGTGACGTCACACGCCGCCGCGAGCGCGGCGACGCTGACCCCGCTGACCTCGGCGCGGCGTCGGGGCGGGCGGCGCTTTGATGCCAGCCGGCGGGGACGTGCCGGCGGATTGTGTTGCGCGTGGGTCGGCGGCGCGCTTCAGGGCGCCGGCTGATGGTCTCCGTGCCGCGCTGGCCGGACGGAAGCCTGGCACCGACGGCACCAGTAATGGCGTCCGGACGTGCGTGCGGCACCGACGTTGTGCGGCGTTCAGGCCGTGACCCGCCGTCTGCCCGGCGGCCGGCCGACGCTGGCAGTTACGGCGGCTGCCGACGCGCCTGGAGACGGAAGCGCCGGTCGGGCGGCTCCTTCCTGCGGCGTGGGAGCGCCGCTCGGGCGGGCTGCAGGCGCCGGCGTGTGCGCTGTGGTTTTTGCGGTGGCGACGGCTGGCCGCAGTGTCCGGCGCCGGCCATGGGACTGGCGCGAACGTGGCGGCCACGGGCAGGCGATGGCTGACGGTGGATTAGGAGCAGTGGGCAGTGGGCGGGTTGTGCCGTAATGCCAGGGTGGCCTGGGTGTGGTGCGTGTGAAGGTAAAAAATAGATTGGGTGTCGGCTCACAGAATGAGGATGATGGCCGGTGTCAACAACGGCACTTGTTTTGCTGTGGTCGCAGAATATAGTCATGTAACGGCCACATGTGCGATCTTAGAAGTGAGGGATCCGGACGCATATATCGCACATTTTCATGCTGATTTTCGCCTGGATCGATCGTTACGGATGCAATCGAAAGCATGTCACGGGAGATACGATCGTTTAATTTCAGGTGTTATACTGCGATCCATTTTCCATGCTGATATCGGTAGGAATGTCCACTTCTTTGTTTGTCGGGCATTGGTGGAGGCGTTCAAGATGTCTGATTGATCCTTCGATGGCATAAACACATTTTGTTATCTAGCGAACCCTATCAGACAATAGAGGAAGATCGGTGTGAAAAACAGGAAAGTGCAGCGCCTTTGCCAATGGATGAAGGTCAATGTCAACAGGAGAGCAGTGCAGCACTCGTGGAAGTGGAGGAGGGTCGTTGCCAGACGCAGGGAAGTGCAGTGCAGGTGGACACGGGCCAGACATCCGATGCTTCCCAACTCCCCGATGCTGCTCAATCTCCCGACGCTGCCCAAACACCCGATGCTGCTCAACCTCTTGGTGCTGTCCAAACACCCGATGCCGCTCAAATTCTCGATGCTGCCCAAACACCCGATGCTCCACCTCCTGATGCCGTTGAACCCCCCGATGCAGCCCGAACGCCCGATGCTGCCCAAACGCTCGATGCTGCTGAACCTCCCGATGCCGCCCAAACACCCGATGCTGCCCAAACATCCGATGCTGTCCCTGCCGAAGCCGACGGGGACCATAGCAGAAGTGGGCGTGGATAAGCCAGGGCCAAGCTGGTGCGGGACGTCGCCAAGCCTGCGCCGTCCAGCTCGAAGGAGGCCAGCGCGGACCAGGACGAGGCGGTGGAGGAGGAGACGGGCGTGGCCGTCCAGGTGCCGGAGGGCGCGGCGCCGGCGCTGGTCGACCTGGACGGGTTCGGCGCTGTTGGCGCGGCCGGCGCCGGCGCCTCGCGCCCGATTCTGCTCTGGGGACCACCTGAGCTGCGCTGACGTCAAAAAGATCCGCCGCTCGACGTCGCTGGCGCAGCTGAAGGAGATCGTGGGCCTGCGCTGTCCCGAGGTGCTGCACTCGACGCCCAACATGACGTCCAGCATGCTGCTGGAGCTGCTGCTATACGTGCTGCAGTACGCGCGCGAGCAGGAGCTCGGCGAAGAGCAGACGTCGGTCGTCTTCAGCGTCGCCAAGGCTACGCACGAGTACGCCACGGCCACCTGCTTCGGCAACGTGGCCGAGACGTTCGCCTACTTCAAGGAGCTGCTGGCGGCGCACTGCGTCAACCGGCCGCCCTGGAGCCTGGACCTCTTCGAGCCGGACGACGCCGAGCACTTCGCCCGCTTCTTCGCCGACATGTACTTCCGCCACTTCAGCCTGGTGAAGGCGGCCTTTACGCCGTACGTGACGCTGGACGTGGACATCTGGTACGACCCGCGCGTGTGGCGGCCGCCGGAGGAGACACCTGAGACGGAGGCCGAGGCGGCGGCCGAGTCGGCGGCGGGTCAGCAGCAGGCCGGGGCTGAGGACACGGGTGCCAGGCTGGCCGGCAGTGGGTAGATTTGTGCGTGGCGAAGCGAGCGGGTGGTGGAGACCGGAGCGGACATGGGAGGCGTCACCGTGCCGGGAGAGGGGGCGCACGGATCCGGGGACGGTGTGCAGGCATGGCGTAAATGTCCGACGCTGAGTTTCGTGCGGCGTCGTTTACTGGGTGGCCTCGTTTTCTGGTTTTCTGGATGCGGCGTCGTTTACTGGAATGTCCGAATGTCTAGGATCGGAATGAAACTTATGGTAAAGCCAACACGGTGACGGCAAACGCCAGTTTTTTTGGACAGCACCAGAAGAGCAAATCTCCCGGACCCCGTTGGGGTCATCCCCACCCCCAGCCCCCAGCCTGCAAACGTTCCCCGTCAGTCGTACACCGCGCGGGACATTCTGGCGCGCAAAAAGCGCACGACCGTCGTGGCGGGTGGCGGCGGGCCGCGCCGTAATGAATGGCGGCGTGCGGCGGCGCCTTTTTGCCGCGGGCCGGCGCCGTTTTTGCCCGGCGGCAGTCACCGGGTCAGGCGGGCGACGTAGGTCAGCAGCCCAGTGTGTCCGCTCCGCTGCTGTAGCGGCGGCGGCGGCGGCGGCCGGGCCCCTCCCGATCCGATGCGGCTATTGATCGCACCGTGAGCGACGGCGGGCTGTTGTCGAACACTGCGGCGGCCGGCGGTGGCGCCGGCGGCGTGTTCGAGCCGCTCGACCGAGCTCGGTCGCGGCGAGTTTTGGGCGGCTTGGCGGGAAGTTGTTCGGGGCGGGAGGTTTTTAGTAGGCTGTTTTTCACCGGCGGCGGCGGCCTGATGAAGATAGCGAGCGGCGTTGAAAGGCCAAGCTCGGCGGAAATGGCTCGTTTCTGGAGCCTGTGGTATTTTGATTAAACGCTAGGAAATGAAGACAGATTAGGTATAAAAGCGTTGATGGGCTAACCTATGGATAGATAAAGTAACGTTTGACGTAGCACGTAGCACATGCAGGTAGCTGCGCACTGCTCTTGACCGAAAGTTAAATATCGAGTAAAAAAAGTAAATATTGAAGTGAAGTATCGCCTAACTGACCATCAATGGGGAGCATTCTTCGAATACCTAACGCTGTCAAAGGGCACTCTACGACCCTCTAGGCCCCCTTGTGTACACCCCCCCCCCCTGCAGACACGGAGGAGTCGTTTGCGCCTCCGAGAACGGCGTCGGCGGGTCACGACCAGCCACGTCCTCGCCATGCGCCGCTTTCGTCGACTTGGCTGGCTCGACGTTCCCATGTTTTCCCCCGATCCCACTGGACCCGCTCACCAGCCGCCGCCGCCGCCGCCGCCGCCGCCACCGCAGGGGGCCGAGCCGCCGACCGCTCCGTGACCGGCTCGTGAGTCGTGAGATGGCCGAGCCGGTCGTGACCGCGGTCGGTCGGGACCGGTTTCGCCGGTCGTAGCTGCCGCCTGCCGCGCCGGCCGACGCCGGTTCGGGTCGGTTTCCTTCTGCCCGCAGCGTTGCCCCGGGCCGGGTGGGAAGACGCGGCGCGAGCCGGTGTCCGCGGCCGCCGGCGCTGGACGGCCGGCCGCGAGCCTGTCGGGCGCCGACCGACGGACCGACGGCTGTGCTGCTGGCTGCACGTCCGGGCTGTACCGTGCAGCCGTGCGGTACGTCCCGCACGGCCGCGTGGTACGTCCTGCGTCCGGGCTGTACGTGCGACCGTGCGGCACTGCCCGCGGTCGTACGGTACGCCCCGCGGCCTTGCGGTACGTCCCGCGGCCGGGCTGTTACGTGCGACCGTGCGGTACGCCCTGCAGCCGTGCGGTACGGGTCCTGCAGCTGTGCGGTACGTCCTGCGGCTGTGCGGTACGTCCCGCGGCCGTGCTTGTACGTACGACCGTGCGGTACGCCCTGCAGCCGTGCGGTACGTCCACGGCGCGTGCGGTACGGTCCCGCGGCTGGGCTGTCAACAGTACCGGCTGCTGCCGTCCGCGGCTGTGGGCCGCCCCGGGACCGATCCGGAGACCGGTCGTTGGGATTACAACCGCCCGACTCGTGCGCCGCCGGCCGGGCGGCGAAGACGTGGCCAGCCACCCGGGCCGCCCGGCTGGCTGGCCGGGTCCGGCGGCCGGTGCCGGCGCCGGTGGCCGGTTCGCCGAACGGCTCCGCCTCATCCGCTGGCCGGACGTGGCTGGTCAAGCGGCGAGGACCGCCCCGGCCGCCCCCGACGGCTGACCTCCCGTCCCGGCCGCCCGGGCGGGCTGACCTCCCGTCCCGCGCCGCCCGGGTGCTGCCCTGCCGCGGAGTCCTCCACCAATCCGGCCCGGTCACCGCGGGAGGTGGGGTCGGCATCACGGCCGCGCGCCGTATCAACGCTGCTGAAATGTCGGCCGTCGCTCGGCGCTGCTCGGCGGCTCTTGGCACTCCTGGCATTCCCGAACGTTTTAAACATGGCGTCAGGCGCGTGGAGCGTCTCGTCCGACGCCGGCCTCCGACGATTACACCGCACAATTAGCCGGCTCGGTCGTTAATCTTTCCATCTATTTTTCCTGCGATGCCGTTTGTTAAAATGGCTGGCTCGAGTGACATGTGTTGTGCCGGGCGTCGTGTGCGCTGCGTTGGAAGTGGACCATTGTGGGACCCGGGACACGTCGGCTGAAGATTTGTCAGCTGTCAGCCTCGCTGCAGGCATAATAGCATATTGCATGCTTCTGCGTACAAATGCTCGATTACTGTGCAGCTGGCTCTTGCTGGCAGCCGGCGTTTTAACCAAATGGATTGTGTCGACGTCGCTTGAAATGCTGAGTTCTTGCTCCGCCATGCGGGTCGTACACAGCCAGCTACCTTGTGGCTGGGATGACGGTGCTTACGCGGCTCTGCTCACATTGCTGGAGGCAGAATCGCAGGTCTTGATTCCAGTCAACAAAGTGTGGCAGACGCCAAATTTTGTATTTCCTTCTCGGGGTGTTTTGCGTCCTAACGGCTTAGCTTGAGGCTAGAACTATGTAAAGAATCCAGCCACTCTTGCTGGGCAAACTTGCCAAGCCGTGTCGTCTGCTCGAGGCGTCGAGGCAGGGCACGCGCCCGAGCCGCAGCGCCGGAGCGTCGCGGCTCCTAGCCCTCTTCAGCCTCACCGTTGTCAGCCGCCGCCGCCGCCGCCCCGCAAAAAGCCGGCCGTCCGAACACAAAAACACGGCCGCACGCGTGTCAGCGGCAGCCAGCCTCATTGGGCAGCGTCAGCGCCCCTGCTCGGCTGATCGCGCCGGTGCCCTGACTTAGCCGGTGCTCTGGGCCAGAGGGTGGAGAGTCAGCGCCGCTGCTCGGCTGATCGCGGCGGTGCCCTGACTCCGCCGGCGCTCTGGGCCGGAGGGTGGAGAGTCAGCGCCCCTGCTCGGCTGATCGCGCCGGTGCTCGGACTCCGCCGGTGCTCTGGGGCAGAGGGTGGAATCAGTGCCGCTGCTCGGCGGATCGTGCCGGTGCTCAGACTCTGCCGGTGCTCTGTACCAGAGGGTGAAGTCAGCGCCCCTGCTCGGCTGATCGCGCCGGTGCTCAGACTTTGCCGGTGCTCTAGGCCAGAGGGTGGAGCCAGCGCCGGTGCTCAGACTCCTCCGGTGCTCTGGGCCGGAGGATGGAGTCGGAGCGGCTAGATCTCAAAGGAACGGCGGCGCACGTCTGTGTGTCTGTGGGCGCAGGTTGTGTCTCTCCGTGGTGCCGGCGGGCCGGCTGCGTGGGTGACATGACAGCCGCCGCTGAGCGTCAGCCCGCTCGGCACGGCGCGCCACCCCGCCACGGCTTTACCTCCGTACCTCAGCCGCGCGGGACCCACTCCGGACCCTACGCGGCGCTCCGCGACGCCCCCGTCGTACCGCGGCCCGCTGGCGGTGGCGCAGCGGCGGCGGCTGCTCCGCTCGCTCAGTGCGGCCGCGGCGTCGGCGCAGAGACATCTGCCGGCGGAGCCCGCGGCGCGGCTGGAGCGGGCGGCGCCGAGGACTGCAGCGGCGGAGCCGGTGCGCGGCGCGGCTGAGCGGGCGGCGCCGAGGGCTGCAGCGGCGGGGATGGACGCTGGGCCGCCGGCTGGAGACGG